AAATTAAAGGTATCTTATGTTATTAGATATATTATTATAAAACATGTTTTAGTTAAGGAGTTATTGATACTTCAAGTGCAAAATGATGATATAAAACCATGATAAAAATGCACTTTTAAGTACTAATCATTTAACCTATAAAGAAAAGGCATTTGCCACACATTTAGATATCTTGATGTTCAAATCAATGTCACTCTCCCTCTTTATATTTTGTAATGTTCAAGTTTTATTTTATGTTATATTAATCTTTTGTTTATATTTTTTATATTTTTTATATTTTTTACTATACTTAATTAACTTATATCACGTTTATGTTCTTATATTATTTATTTATGTTTTTCTTCTTCATAATATTTAGCTAAGTTAATTTTGTCAGGTGAAAAAGGTATACTAATGGTATAAGAATAAGTATAATATAAACTCAACTGGATTTTAATATTTGATATTAACATGTTTTATATTTGTTTTTTTACTCACTTTTAATACCTTACTTGTTAAATGGTTAATCTAGATTTGTATTATACAACAAATACTTGACATTTTCATAGCCTACTATATGGTATAACCAACACTTATACTATGAAATGAACTTGATTTGTTGTTAATATAAGTTATTACTATGAATACCTAACCACATTGACAAGTATTGGCATTACGCAAATAAAATAATTAATAGAATCATGTTAATAATTTATAATATGATTGGAACCTCCTTTATGTGTGGTTTCCAATTGAGTAATAAAAAGAATTTATACTATACTTATTTGAAATAACATTAGTGGATCCTCTAACCCTGACAATTGATTTATCCTTATTTAATCCTTACATCAATATCATATCTCAAAAATATTTCTTCAACTCCTTTTCATTTATTATTTATAATTTGATATAGTTTATCATTCTATGATTCGATTCTAATTTTACCGAATTATTTATTACTTCAACTTGCACTTAGAATAAGATATTAATTTTTTTATCATGTCACAGACTCAAGTAATGCGGGTTTAGTATGTTTGCTAGACCCAAGATGCTAGTAAAGTTCAAAGTACCTGGATTTAACGGTTAATTAAATCTAAAATAATATAGGTTTGACATATTTACTAAATTCAATGATTCTAAACTTGCCAAACAACTAAGTTTAAAGCATATAAACTTGATAATCAACTAAGTTTAAATAATATAAATATAACATATTTATTATATCAATATACTTAAACTTGATGAATAACTTCGTTTAAAATACATAAACTTAGTAATCAACTATTTTCTATTGCTTTTTATGTTCGCATATATTTACTTGCTAATAAATAATGTTTTGTAGCAAATTGAAGTAGTTGGCATGTTATAATTACATTTAATAAATTTTGATTTTAATATTATTAACTTTTTTAATATTAGAAGATATTTTTTTTTCCTAACATTTACTAATGTGTTTTTTACAAATACCCGCAACATAGTGAAAGCAATCTAGCTAGTCTCCACTCATATATATATATATATATATATATATATATATATATATATATA